GCAGTTACATTCAGATCTGACCCACACAAATCGATTACTGCTTAGAAGAACCGGAAATTTGCATTATGTTTATGGACAAAAAGCGGAATCTAAGGAGATTAGGCTGAGAACCCAAGACTCGTGAGTAACAATTCCTCCTGGAATTCTGTCTACTGGCAAAGCTTGTTTGAACACCTGAAAAGCTACGCTTAAGAGGAGCGGGCATTTTGCATTGGGATTAGTTTGTGCCCTGCAGTTAAAAGAAAGCCCTTGATGAGGAAATAGCACGCCGGAAGATGAAACGAACAACAGAATGGCCAGCAGACTGACAGTCAGGCGATGCAGCACTAATTAAAACAGCTGTAAAATTGTCAGCTGTATGGATGGAGAACCACTTATGAGCAGCAGCTGATTAAAGCGTAGAAAGCAAGTACATTTTCCATAACTTGATCCTTTATTTGTAATAAATTATTTTCAGTGGCTTTCTGTTTTGGTTTCGGAACGCTGAAATTTCCCAAAAATTATTGGTGCTAAAAGAAAAAGCGCTAGTGATTTTAACAAGAAATAAACACTTGTAGAGAATTTTTTACCCAACTGTGTTTTTACGGGGAAAGCTGCAGTGTGTTTTGCATAAGCAACATCTTCATGTAAGAAGTATGGATGCATATCCAAAGCTGAGCGTGGACATGCATTTCTGCGGAGGATTAATAGGAACGGAGCTATTTTTCGAAAATGGCTTTCACCCAGGAGGGAATCGAACCATCCCTTCACATCCAGACATGGTGTACTTCCCACTTTACCACCGACTCTACCAGCATCAGCCTGGCAGCACATTTACTGTGTATCGGCCTTTCAAGGTAGAATCAATATTTCTTTTCCTAGCTGGCTGCCGGAAGTAGTATGCATATTCATGGCCTGTTTTAGTTTTTAAAGTTTTGATATTAGCTTGGTCCTGACACACTTACGTCCCCACGTATGATAGTGTCTCAGTAATTAATATTGCACATCAAATGCTTGGACTGGTTTGGTGTTCTTAGTTTGTACAGATCTTAGCGATAGGCATTAGTTTGTACAGATCTTAGCGATCATAATTTGAGGTATGAAGATTGGTTCAGCTAATTTGTGGCACACTATCTGACAAAATAGAATTCTCAAATTACCCAAAATTCGTTTATTCATCAGTTTGAAACTGCAGCTATAGGCCAAGACATTTAGGAATTAGAAGTTGGTTTTTGCTGTTTGACGATGCTTGGGATCAGTTTCTTATATTTTGTTAACCTGACACTGCGACTTATTCACTAGCTTCGACAGTAATTTGGCACTGATACATACCCAGGTAACAAATCCTCAATCTACATTTTTGCAAGCAGCCCTTGAAAGAGAGCTATCGGCATCCTTGTTAGGGATGATTGTTGCTAGCATTCTGCTACCATTCGGATTATTTCCTACGCACCTTCGCCTAACAAAAAACAAAAAAGTGATGCAGGTGATTGCAGTTTTTTAGTAACAAGCGCATGCTGATATGTGTATCCTAAGTTTTATTGTTTAGAACTGAAAACAGGTTGAGATGTTTTGACTTTGTTTCGTGCTATACAGGCTAGTACTAAATCACCATCGAAGTGATATAGCTGAATGTACAACTTGTAGCGCAGGATTTCTGTTGCTTGCCCAACTGCTTGTATTCCAAAGTACCATAACGGGGCGGCCAGCCCATCTTTTAAAAATTCTTTGGTATTTCCTTCCTGAGCTTTATAATTCCGTAAATTTTAGCTACCGGCTTCGAACATAGTAGAGAACGCTTGAGATCAGTGCCGGTATGAACAGATGAGAAAAGTGCCAATGACTGTGGCAATGGTAGCCCGAACATAGCTTGGGCTTAGGCTGGATGCTGCTTTTGTTGGCTCAGTTGCTTTTGTTGACATAGCTTCTGTTGGGTCCGTTGTTCCAGTATCCGGTTTTTTTGGCAAATCTTTCTGGTCGACGCGTATCCGGTCGTAATACGTTGTTAGCAAATCTAATATGACCCCATTTGACCATCCAAAGCCATCCTGGAAAAAGTAATTTGTTCATTAATGGAAAAATTTTGACAGATTTTTCTTATTTTTGCGAAAAATTGGATTCTAATCCATCATGGCTTGAAGTATCCGCAGGAAAACAGAGGGGATAGCAGCTTTTTCAGCTCCTGTCGCGGCGAGATATCTGGCTAGAAAGAGCGAGAAAAGCCTCTTTTGGCGTCATTTTTGATCCGTTACTGAAGTGGTGATTGCTGTATAAAATGACGAGTGAACAAAAAGTTTCTTCTTT